GGGCATCCCTGAGTCATTACTCAAATTGTCATGTGTTGATAAATATGCGGTGATGAAAGCAAAATAGAATAAATAATGATTCACCAGGTTGGCGTCAGGGATATAAAATATTAGTAGGTGTAAAATCAACGATGCTTCTATCTAGAATGTTTTGGTTTGAGATACATGCCAAGCAGATACGCAGCTACGGAACCAAATTATTGATCACACAAATTTATGCTAAATTATTGTTTCTTAATTAACGAGGTATTTATTTAGTGCCGAAAGGAAATTAAGAATCGGGATTTTAAACATGTTCTATTTAAGGGGAAAAAATCATGCGCATGTGTAAAGCATGGCGGTTTTGAGGTCCGGATTTTAGATCATTCCGAATATTGGACGTCCAGATCTCGGACTTTACTGTATAACAAAATACGATAGCTGCTTTAAAATTAATTGGCGATTTCAAAATTAACTGTTCTAGATTTGGGGCTCTCCCCTAAATTATCTGTTCTCCCAAATTCAAGATTTTTTTCCATGTTATATAACATTTCTTGAAAAAGGGAACAGAAACTAATTTAACCAATCATAGCTTGTCTCTACAATTGCATCCACTTCGGTATAAGTACCACTCGCAAGAAATTATGCCATTCCTTTCCCTAGCTTTCACTCTGTAAAAAGCTCTGCGCTGCTTAAGCTGTCATAATTTAATGCGTAGAAGAAAACACTGGAACTTTTTAACAGCTTTCGATATCCGTCATGGCTGAGGGTTGAATTCGTATTGATGAAGATAACAATACTAGATTTCTACAAATCACCAATCTCTATTTTCGCACTTATCAAAAAACATCCTTTTTGCTGACAAGATATTTTTTAATCAATCATAGTGAGAATACGATAATTTCTATGTACACGTTTTTAAAAGAACGACATAAGCATTTTGGATAGGACAGCATAAGCGCCGCAGGGCTATTTGCAGGGTGGAAGCTACGGAAAGTAATGGCGTAATTTCTTGTGAGTTGTATTTATACCGAAGTTGATTTAGTTGTAGAGACAAGCTATGATTGGTTAATTTTTAGTTACCTTCTTCAAGCAATGTAATATGGAAAAATCTCGAATTTGGGAGAACAGATGAATTTAGCACCAAATCTGGAATAGTTCATTTTGAGGTCCCCAATTATTTTTAAAGCAGCTATCATATTTTGTTATATCTTACACATACACACACACACACACATATATATATATCAATTAACCACTTTAGTGCAAATTTCCATATGACGAAAAGTGACGTTCCAAAATCGTGTTTTGGGGGTATCGTGTTTTGGGCAAAGAGAGAAGGGGTAATAAAACAATGTTCTGTCCCATCGAAACGCGATCAGATTAATCGCGCAATTGCCTTCTCTGTCTTTCCGTATGTTCTATCTATGGAGCACAGTTACGTTGCGGCGAATTCCCTGTGCATAAATTCCTGTCAGGGAAGAAGACATTTTTTAAACTTTCATTTAGGCTTTTGCTTGCAGCAGCCAAATGATAATAGTGTTTTCGAAAACAGTCGGTTGAAAGAGTTTTCTAGAGAAACGAAAAATGACAGTCGCAGTCTTAGTGAAATATACTAGTTGAACCCCTATTACCCGAAGTAATTGGAAATACAGCCAGCTCGAGCAATTAAACCTCGGTTAAACTCGAACTCACGTGAATGTTTCTTTTGGAAAGGTTTTTCTGAAATTGATTATTTGAAATTCTGAAAGTATAATAAACTCTTTTACTGCTAAATAAAATTTGATTTCCTTCAGTTAAACAAATAATCCATACAGTAATATTCTTTCGTGATAAAAATATTCATGAAGAACTTAAAATGAACAAATCTCGTCAAAAATGTGTGTAAACTGTAAAATTTTGTCAAATGTCTTACATAAATTTTGCATAAATTAATTTTAAAAAAAGTTCAGTTACTGTTTTTATTTATTTTGTGATTATCTTTCTTTCTAAAACGTGTTTTCCCTACTTTTTGTGTTAATCTTTCTTCCTACAACTCTATCAGTCGCCGTACAATCATGTCAGTTTTTGATCAAAAAGAAATCCATAGAAGAAGCAATCAGGACGTTACTCTAAGGTTAGTGAGTTTTATTCAAAGTTTTAGCACCCATTAGTAACCGAATGGTAAAACCTTTGAAAACTGGTAGTTGAACCCAGGTTCAGGTATCGGCAAAGGAGCTAATGGCATGAGAGATTTTGATATTTTTCCTCGGATGTAAAACTGCAAGCCAGTTTTCTCTAAAAAAGTGCTCCATGAAGGCATTTTCCCTGTTTACACGGGTAGCCATTGGGTACTTTGCTATAATCAAAATAAATCGAAACAAGGATTACAACACAGCTAACTTTTAAATTTTGCGTTTTAACATCATCCTTAACATCACTTCAAATTTGATTGTTTTACCCGAACCTTTTTTTTTTTACAAATGGCGGGCACTTGCCTATTACGGCAATGGCCACTACTAAGGCCAGAAGTGGTAGCCATTTTATTGTGGAGGCACCTAATAGGCGGCCACCGTTACCTCCTATGAAGGGACAGACAATTTTACATCCATGCCTTCTCCGGGATTCGAACCCGGGCCCTTTGGTATCGCAGTCGGGCTTCCCTAATCACAATATCGTCTGGGCGGCTCTTCCCGAACTTTACTGCGAAAGCTTTTTTCGTCACTCAAAACTTGAAAACTTGGTGCCTTATCTTCTACATTTATCCAGGCCGAAACACCATTCTTTTATCCTATGTAACGTGTTTGCGAATTCATTGTCAGTTAATGTTGCTTTCATCTTTAACACATGTAAATAACATTTGTCACCATAATGCTTAACAGCAATACCGTTAAATGATTCGTCACTGGTAAGAGAAGTAAAAAAAAAAAAAATTCATAACTAATAAAAAAAAAAAATTCATGACCATTAGTCATTTTCACGGCAACCTTCCTAAATGTTACGAAATTTTTCCTGTGATTACTTTAAAGTGACTAAACAGAGACATAGGTTCGCCCCCCCCCATTCTAAATATCCTACTCATCGGAACTAGGCTTGCAAAGCATGTTTAATATTGTGATAGCACACATGATTGTTGCTTATTCAAGTAGATATTGGGCAAGACTAGCATCCGACTTCAGGGGCACAGCAATAGTGAGCTGATCTTACGGGCTGTCAGATCTTGAGCTTAAGAACTAATTGAAGTACACTACTGGCCACCGTAAATGCAACACCCTGAAGGAAGCATACAAATAACATGGAATTTACAACATGCATTAACGGAGGTGAGATATGCAAATGATTAGAATTTAAGCGCAGACGCACATCACGCGCGCCTGTAGCGCCACTTCAAAGCGCTATATAAGGCTTGGGGTTTTCGACGATTTCAAGTTCGGCAATTGTGTTTTTCATGTGTTTTTTTCAAAAAAACGATCAATTATGCCTCGTAGTAAACAGCGATCATCGTTTGATCAAGCATCCAAGTTCGACAGCGGAAGGATAGTGGCCTACCGAGAGTGTGGATTATCTTTCTGGGAATTTGGTAGTCGTGTTGGACGAAACCAAACAACTGTAATGCGGATATGTGACCGTTGGATGCAGGAGGGTTCGATCGCATCCACCTCAGTGCACCACTTCCCGTGATGACAGGAACATTGTGGGCATGGCAGTGATAGATCGCTCAGTCACATCACGAACCACAGCTCAGCACATTCAGTCTGTAACGCATCATCCAGTGTCTGCGCGTACCATTCGACTCCGTTTACAGCAGAGTCTTCTAACCGCAAGACGTTCATTGCTTCGTCTACCCTTGACGCAGAACCACAGACGTCTCCGCCGCCAATGGTGCGATGAAAAAAGGATGTAGACGGCAGAATGGAATGAAACTATCTTTACTGACGACTCACGGTTCTGTCTGCAACACTACGATGGTCGGATTCGAGTCTGGAGACACCGTGGAGAGAGGATGCTGAGCAGCTGCGTTATACAACGCCACACTGGTCCTGCACCGGGTATTATGGTATGGGGCGGTATTGGATATCACTCTCGCACTCCTCTAGTATGCATTGCCGGTACTTTAAACAGCCAGCACTACATCTCCGGGATGTTGGATTCAGTTGTCCTTCCTTACCTTTAGTGCTTTACAGCCATATTTCAACAGGATAATGCGCGACCACACGTGACACGCATTGTCCAAGGGTTCTGCATCAATCGCCAGATTGAATTGCTTGCCTGGCCGGCTCGCTCTCCGGATCTTTCACCTATAGGAAACATGTGGTCCATGGTTGCTGAACGATTGACCCAGATTACATCCCAAGCTGCCACACCAGATCACCTTTGGTAATGTGGAAGCTTTCTTGGTCTGCTCTACCCCAAGCACACATCCAAAGTCTCTTTGAATCAATGCCGAGGCGTGTGGCAGCCGTGTTCTCCAACAATGGCGGCTACTCTGGCTATTGATTCTGGAAGGAACCACACTTCACAGAAGTCTATAAATTTAATCATTTGATACTTGGTCAATATGTTATCTACTAAATAAATTTGGTTGCGATATCTCTTGTCTTTTTTGGTGTTGCAATTTGGGTGGCCAGCAGTGTAGAAAGGCATAGATATTAGGAGCAATTTAATTCTTTGCAATGGCATGGAATAGAAAAGTATGTTTTACGTAAGAAAGTGTTACTTGAAACCCGAAGAAAATAGTTTCTTGAATCCATTAATACAACCGAAGCTCTACTAAAACATGAAATTTCATATATTTATAAAATATTTCGTGTAATTTCATAGCAGAACAATTTCATATATAACCCACTATCAAGACAAAATTTGTAATTCTTTTCAGTGTTTCTCTTCATTCTTAAAAATAAGAAATCCAAATGTTTATGAATCTATAGAATTTTCAGTGGGAAGGGAAACTACCAAGGTATCTTTTCTGATGTTGTTCCCTGACATTTTACAGAAGATCAGGAATTGTCTCCATTCGCTACCGAAAACTCTTGTATACTTACCAATGAACTGAATTCTAACATCTCTCTGAATATGGTGTTCCTTCCAAGTTTACAGGCCAATGTGAGAGGTGTGAGACCAAACTTATTACACAGCTGATCTGAAGCAGGACGCGTAGGATGACGAAGAGCATAACCATACATTTTCTTAAATAAGAGCACAAAGGTAAGTTAACAAAACATACAGTACAAAAAGTTGGCAGTATCCAGGTATGAGTTTCGCTAGACAGATTCCAGATACTTTCTCTATACGCAAGTGATTGATGTACAACCATCGTAATTGATCTAATGCTTTTGTATTTAAATTGCTTATAATCGACGATAAAGCGGCTAACATTGGAGAGCTGCTTGTATGTACTATGTAGAAAGATAATATTAGCATTTTCTATTGGAACACAATGAAGTATAAAGGAAGTAATGTACATATAGATACGAATTATAAGAAAATAGGCAATTTCTTGCCAAATATGGCAACCCCGCCTTCCCTTGTCATTTTCTGTCAACCCTAACCCCCTGCGGGAAAACTATGTTACTGCAGCTGAGCTTTTCGTAACAATATATATATATATATATTTCACAGAGAAGGAGAGGGAAAAGATCACAAAATAATGCGAAATCTTTTGTTCGCTGTATATACGGCGAAAAATTGGCACGTTAGGAGACTGAAGGTCTAAAAAAGAACTCATGAAGAACATTTTCTAGGTTGTCATACGAAAGTGTGCGAATGCATCTGACTACCAACTTTCTGAATGTGAACTTTATTTTCTTATGATATCTATTTTACTTTTAAAATAGTGCTTAAAATTTTTATTTTATAGTTATTAGATACTATATACTTTTTATTTCAAGTTCTAGTTCCGCATCATAAGCCAAGCTTTTTCTTCAACTTACGCCTATTTTCAACGCCGTATAAACTGTGAAAATTCATTAAATAACATTCGTCGCTTAACTTTGCATTATTGTTCGATTCACATGATCAAAAGTTAAGCTAGAAACAGTTGTACAAAGTTTCAAAGTTAGGATTTGGAGAAGTGCTTCGTTAAATGTCTTCCTGTCAAGTCTTTCCCGGCTCCTTTCATCTAGGGTGTTATTTACCAACATCAGGCTTACGCTCCTCGTAGGAGAAATAAGAATAATTTAGGTGGCAATCAGAAAATAATATTGTATTTGTTACTTTATCATTGATATAGAGTTGTGTTATATACTAGAGAAGGTACTAGAATCTTTGAGATTTTGAGGTAGGACAAAATTCAGTAAAAGCACTGGAATGAGGGCAAGGGATGGCCCTGCTTCACCTTCAGCAAATTGAAAGATACAAGAATCATATGCAATAAATAAAGACTTAACAGAAGAAGAGAATAATTAAGTAAATAAATAAATGCCGACTTTTCCAAATTCCAAACTCAAAAAATTCATTCGAAGCAATCGAAGACATCTTCTAAATGTCAGTGATATTATTGCAATTGTTATTAATATCATCAATGACCAAAAAGAGAATACGGTAATGAAAAAGTCTTCTGTATCCTCAGGCATAAAAAACTGGTTTAATAAGAACCGAAGGCAAAATTTAACATAGCTGTTTTTATGCTTTTCTATCCTTAAAATTAATTTAATATAAGCGTATTTGACTCTCTTTCTGTATGTATGCAAGACAAAGGGAAGTTATATATAAATTAACGGTGCAGCTCAAAGGATAAAAGGAGGTAAAGGGAAAAAAAGAGAGAGATATAAAAGAGATACTAAAAAAGACATGTAAGAGGTATTTAATATAATCGGCCTAATCGGAAATGCGATTTTGACTATTGTCGTATATGTCTTAAATATGTCAGTGATATTATTGCCATTGTTATTAATATCATCAATGACCAAAAAGAGAATACGGTAATGGAGAAGTCTTCTGTATCCCCAGGCATAAAAAGCTGGTTTAATTAGAACTGAAGGCAAAATTTAAATATGTCGTCTCATTCATTTTTATTTTTCAAATGATAATGTTTTGTGATTCAAACGATTCAAATGATGAATATAGTTTGATGGAATATAAAGCAAATACGTTTTTATACTAATTTATAAGGTGTTTAATGCGTTTAACAAAGGCAGATCATGATTTTCAATGAAGCATACCAGTTATTAAAGGGTAACAAAACATACGCTATTTTGCAAAAAAAAATAAAATAAAATAAAATAAAATAAAAAAAATCGAAGCACCAAGAAAGACTTTTGCGATCGTGACGAAATTTGGTATGCAAAAACATCTTGATCGAACATGCAAATGATCAAAGTTTCAAGGGAAATGAACAGGAATTGCGATCATTTCGCGCATTTCGCAAAGTATAGAACCAGTAACAGAGGCGGAAAATTTATCTTTTTTTTTTTTTTTTTTTCCCTGCCATTGTAGTTCCGTAAAGAAGCAACTAAAGATGCCGTTACCACGATATCGAAGACCTTACAGACAACTAAAGACTTCGAACGTGGTCGCATTGTAGGGTTGCATGAAGCTGGGTGGTCATACCGAGCAATAGGCCGCCACCTGCAGCGTACAGACACTGCTGTGCAAAGATGTTGGCAGCAATGGTTGCTACAAATGAAATTGCTGAAAAAATGAAGTCTCTGGAAAGCCAAGGAGCACAAATGCGAGGCAAGATACTAGGATGATTATTCGCCAGGCCCGAAACGCCCCTACGGTATCATTGTTGACTATTCAACGCACTACAGCACGTGTATGCTTCCCGTGGTACCGTCCATCATCTCACGGTGTTTATCTGTGGCAGGGTTAAGAGGCCACAGAGGCCTTAAAACGTTTGCCATTGACCCCCCACAACATCGGCTGAGTCGTCTGGAGTGTTCTCGCAGCCGATCATCATGGTTGCCATCAGACTGGCATCGTATAGTGTTCTGCGATTAATCCCGCTTCGCTCTTGAAGCAGATGACCACCGTTTCGTATCTGGAGAGGACGTGGCCAGCGATCTCAATCAGTCTTTGTTTTACAAAGGTATACAGTTATAAACACGGGTGTGATGGTGGGAGGCACTATTTATTATGACAGCAGGTCATCTTTAGTCATCTTCCGTACATCTTTAACAGTTCAACGATATGTTGATACCATCCTGCGGCCAGTTGCGTTACCCTTCATGGCACGCCATCCTGCAGCCATTTTCCAACAAGATAATGCCAGGCCACATACCGCTCGCATATCTCTGGACTATTCTGCGTGCGGTTGGCACGCAGAATTCCTTGGGCAGCAAGGTCACCAGACTTTTCACCAATCGAGCATTTTTGGGGCATGGTAGGCCGCCAGATTCGGGCACCATAAAATATCGCCGATCTGGAGCGACAAACTGATGAAAGCCTGGCAGAATGTGTCGCAGGATGACATTAGGAATCTCCATCACTCCTTGCCTCGACGAATTCAAGCATGCATTGCAGCCAGGGGCGGTTCGACCAACTACTAATTTGAACACTTAATGGATGATTGTAAGCCGTGAACAGTTACTATGGCCTTGATTTTTTAATCATTTTACTATCTATGTATGAGCTATACATTCTATTTCATCAAAAACAATAATTTCCTTCATGGTGGTTCGATCTTTTTGCAAAAGAGTGTATTTTGTGTTAAGGTACTTGCTCTATACTGAGTACAAATCGTGTAAAGCAAGAAGAAAATTATTGACAGAATGTCAGAATTTTTTAAAAGTCTGAAATGTTCCAGCGAAACTCACACGAGATATAATCCAGTAACATATATTATAATAGATATACATCTAGTATTGTTGTCGAAGACAAATAAAGGCAGCCTTCAGGTACTTGTCATAAATATCTCATTACGTAAGTAATTACGCTCATGTCCATAAATTAAGGATAATTCGGAGTCACGCAGAAATCGAACTCTAAAATAAATATATCACCTGTAAAATCACTACACACACCTTCAAGAATCATATGCAAAGTTCAGAAAGTAACCAGATGACATCGATGGTACGTCACAATGACGAGAGTGTAAGAGAGTGATATATAAGGAATACAGGCAAAGAAGTGAAATTATTCGCAGGCATTTTATAAGCATTTCAGTGCAATAACCGAATAGTTATGACACAAAGGACGAATTTGAATGATTTTTTACGTGGTAGAATTATCGGCCGTCGGAATGTGGGCGTACCCATCTGGAAGTATCAGACGAACTTGGAAATGCCCAGAGTGTCATCTCCAGGCTTTGGCAAGGATTCCAAGATGATGGTAATGTGAGTAGACGTTACAGCACAGGTCGCCCCAGAGTTACAACGCCGAATGAGGACCGGTATTTGGCAGTTACTGCCAAAAGAAACAGGCGGAGCACAGCCTCAGACCTGTCTCGTCAGCTTTCTTCAGCCACTGATACGACAATTTCAAGGCAGGCCGTGTACAGACGCTTAGGGCAGATTCGTCTATATGCTCGTAGACCTGTCAGATGCGTTCCAATTACTGCAACTCACTGTCGCCTGCGGTTAGCCTGGAGTAGAGAGCATGCATTGTGGACACCACAGCAGTGGACTTGTGTGATGTTTTCCGACGAGTCCAGGTTTAGCTTGCAGTCTGATTCTCGCCGGACTTTCATATGGAGAGCTCCAGGTACCCGTTACCACCAAGAAAACATCATTGAACGACACCGTTACGGTGGTGCAGGAGTGCTTGTTTGGGGTGGAATTATTCTGGGTTCCAGAACTGACCTGCATGTTCAAATTGGAACCACGACAAGCCAAATCTATCGGAACGTCATTCTGGAACAACATGTACGTTTGTTTCGGGGCGCCATGGGCGCACAATTTGTGTTTATCGATGACAACGCCTGTCCTTCACCGTGCAAACATCGTAAGCGAATGCCTTCAATCGGAGGATATCACCCATATAGACTGGCCCGCATTCTCCCCGGACTTGAATCCAGTAGAGTACGTGTGGGGACATGCTTGGCCAACGAATTGCAGCCCGTCAACCTCCTCCTACATGTCTACCGGAACTTCGGAGAGCATTGCTTTTTGAGTGGTGTAATATCCCCCAAGATCAGATCGATAATTTGATACTCAGCATGCCTAGGCGTTGTACGTACTGTACTGCATCGTCTGAGAGACATACAATATATTAACAATCATACCAACCATGTTATATTGTTTTTTTGTAAATAGGTGTTTTTTGTCATTTGCTCCAGGGAGAAAAAAAAATCGCTAATTTTTTTAATAATATCAAACATATAGCATCTTTTTTTGCTCTTTACCTTTTGTTTAATAAATAAGCTTTACAAATAAGTCAAATTTGTTTTGCTTTTAACTCTTCCTTTGCCTGATTTTGCATTATCCGTAATTTATGGACATGAGTGTATTTACATTAAGAAAAAATATCAGAAGCATAAATAGCATGTGATGCAAATGCTAATAAATTCGTGAGATTTCGAAACGCAAAATGATGTTTAAACTCCTGTAGCCTTTTCCTAGCTGCATGCTTTATAGGTTTTTAAGTTAGGTTTGTTTTGCATCTTTCTTTCAAACGTAACCGGCTCAAATCCTATTAAGTTCTCCATCAAAATTTGTCTCCTTTGGTTCGCCACAGCAAAAGGCAAAACCAAAGGATTACAGGATTCACTAAGTGGTGATAAACTGAATTTTTCGAGAAAATGAGCTTCCTCTTTGACGTCGAATCATACTGTTCACATGCCCACATTATCTTAGCGGTGGTCGGTTTTAAGTACAATATGTGGTGAAGAAATTTACATGAAGAATCGTATCTTCATGTGGGTAGCTGCAAGTCGATATCTAGGAGCGTTTCAGCAGAAAAGACTACGTTCTTTGTTTCCTTCAGCTGCCTTTCGAAATGAAGTAACTAGATTACTGATGTTTTAGTTATTCTTATTCTTTGGCTATGTCAGCTCTGAAATGTTGATTGAAGCCGCTTTTTAAAACAAACTACTGCGGTGTATATTTGCTGAGAGAATGTACACTGGTGTGCAAAAATTAAGGACGAAGTCGAAAAATTAGCATATCAGCTGAACGAAGAGGCAGAGCAGACAGAAAAAGCAATCAGGAGAATAAGTAAGGTGATGTACGGTAGCACATGCGCAGATATGCAGGTAGACGTAATGGGGGAGTGTCTGAGTAGTATAAAGCATGTTGTCGGTGTAAGATCAGTATTTCTGGCAAAGAGATTGCACGCCATATAGCAGTTAAAATCACACCGAGTTGCGCCTAGCGAGAAATGGCGAATAATCAATCTGTTAGTCGACATCTGGAGCTTTTACCCGAGTCGATCACTGGGAAGTTGGAGGAAGGCCCGCGTGTGACAAGTGTGGCTGCAGAGTTCGGAATGCTCACAGCATCGTTCACGACTTGAGACAATTTCAAACTACAGGAACAGCTATCCAGGGTTTAGTAGTGGTCGTCCACGAGGAACCACACCCGCAGATGCCGGTATATTGCCTTACAGGCAGAAGAAACAGGCGGCAGACAACAGGAGAAATCGCTAGACACATGCACGGCGACTGGACGACCGATATCGCGTTTTACCGTGGCCAGAAGACTGCACGGTGGTGGTCTGTTGCGCGACGCCCGTACGGTTGTGTACCTCTAACGCCTGCCATCGGAGAAGGCGTTTCTTGGTGCCGGGAACCCGAATTGGAGAGACAATGAATGGGGACGAGTACTCTTACAGATGAGAGCAGCTTCAGCTGAGTAGCGATTCTCATCGCATACTCATCGGAGAGAGCGGGAGCCACAATCATCCCTCGAACATCATTGAAAGGGACAGGTATGGAGGTGGCGGTGTTCTCGTGGGGGAGGCATCATGCTGGTATCGTACAGACCTTCACATCTTCGACGCAGGTTCAGTCACGGGACCCTTATTGTAATGAGATTCTTCTTCCATATGTGCGTCTTTTAGAGGCGCTATGGGTCCGCAGTTCCTTTCATGGACGGCAATGCCCATGTCATCGCACAGTAGCTTCCGAACAGCTCTTAAGAGAGTGAGGATATGAATTATGGATTGGCCGGCACGATCTCCGGATCTCAATCCATCGAGCATGTATGGGATTTTCTAGGCAGACGCTGGCAGCTCGTACCTTACCACCAGTAACGATTCCGGAGCTTCGATTGGCGCTGCAAGACGAATGGGCAGCAATGCTCAACAACTCATGACACCCTCATTCTCAGATGGCAGACGCTGTGAAACCTGCCTAGCAGTCAGGGAGATCATATCCCCTATTAAAGACCGATGTTTTGCTGGACACCATCACAGGATGGTTTCGGCCTTCAGTCGCATTGCTCCATGCTACTTTTCAATACAGCTTCTTTTTATCCCTCTGATTCTCTTTAGAGTGTGCTTACATACTCAGTCCTTACGTATTGGGGATCTTACGGTATTAAATGTGTTGATTTGGAAAGCTTTTGTACAAAGTTATATTGAAAAAACCGTCTCGTCCTTAATTTTTGCACACCAGTGTACATTGGCAAGTCTGCTACTATGCCTAAGATATAAGCAAAGTAGTAAAAACTTAAAAAAAATATAAACAAAGTTTCCTTTCAGTCATATATACATCTTCTTCATTTAGAACGAGGTCTAAAGAAAACCAAGTGCGCTGTGGATTGAATTGGATAAAAGCAGGATGTTAACTAACCAGTTTATCACGAATTACCAACACGTGCAAAATGCTATTTCCAAAAGTGTCTTGCAAGTTAGGATCTGCTCCATGCTTCAGTAACAAGTTATAACTGGATTCATCGTCGAAGCAGGCTGCCCAGGCTAGTGGATACTCTCCGAAATAACTCAGTCCTAAAACATACAAAAATTAACAGCTATAAATTAAAATGAACGGCTTAAGTTTCTGTATTCCGTATAACTTCACTTATTTATTAATATCTAGATAAATTATGAAACTGTCGGGATTTATAAAAAATCCGGCTAATTGGTTTATTTTTTTATTGCACGCGAAATCATTATTTGCTGTAATGCAAGGGAGGGGATTTTATTCTGTATCATATAATCGTACTATATTCCAAGAAAGATTACACAGTTTTAAAAATTTAAAACCCTTCACATCCCTACGGAACTTTAAAATACCATCAATAAAATAGCTCAGCTATGTCCCAACGGGATTTTTAAGCCCCAATTTTAAATTAAAAAAAAACAATGGAAAACTTATAACATTTTTGGAAATTTAATGTGAGATGTTTCTCATGCATAAAGAAATATAATGAAAAGGTTTCAAAATCTTTTTCAAAAAATTCAGTAATTTGGGAAGCAAAGGGTTATTTTTTCGTTAAATTAAATTACGAAATTAATAGCCTTTAGAAATAAATTATATTGCTTATATGACACTATTAAACACAAAATTCGCGCCCTGTCGAAAGAAGAAATGCAGTTAACTCCCGCACTGTAATATCTAGTAATTATTATGTGGCATAATATTTATTCAAGTAAATTTAGGAGCTTTTCAGCTGATCAGTTATCATTTAATAATATCTAGTAAATCTCTTCTAATCTATAATCTCCAATCTTCAAAATCTCTGAAGCATTTAAAAAGCCTTGTGATTTTAGTTTCTTGAAGTTTACTTATGCAGAAGTAAATTATCATCTAAATAAAAAAGAAAATTCAATTCTTTGATCGCACATTTTACACTGCAGTGATATAAGATTATGTTAACTATTAATCTGGAATTTGAGAAATCAGATTTTTTTTCTCTTTCTTCTCCTTTTTTTACTCTTTACAAGTTCTCTTTCATTATTATTTTACTTCCATAAAAAGACGACTAATTCCTTTTTCAACTAAAGTAAAACAAATAAGGTAATTCTTATTTACGTAAGCATTGTAACCTGACGCATGATCTCGGAATTTATTTTTCTTGTACTAAAACTAGAGAAGGATATTATTTTTAATTTGTGTAAAACAAAACACATAACCTATTTCTGTTCAACTAAAGGTACTATTTTTATTGAAGCAGGCTAATCAAATAATGAAATCAGCAATATAATATTATTATTAAGTAATTTGATAGCTGCTAATTCTTAACTAAATTAATAACTTCTTATAAACATGTAATTAGCTATATTAGGTTTTCATGTTATTAAAAGAAACTAAAAACTTTAAAAACCTAAGCAAATTAACAGCAAACTAAATATAGCTGGACTTACAGACAGCTGTAATTTTTTTGAACATTCAGAATGGAACTTGAAAGAAAGTAGATTAAGTTTTTGTCATTTTTCACTAGTAAAAATCAGGTGTACTGAAAATTTAAAGAAATTACTAGTTATGAAGATAACGATTCAAATCGTGATAGGCTCTAACCCCTTAGGAGAAAAAAAAAACAGTCATATAAAAAAGGCAGTCTTATTAAATTATATTGCAGTGTATTAGAAGAATTATTTTAAATGAATCATTGAATTTTGTCGAACGAAATTTTACACAAAAATTGTAGTTCATAGGATCGCTTTTTGGAAGAGGTGAAAATTTTGCATAAATGAAACTCATAGTGAAGTATGCAAATGTCCAAAGTTACGTAGTAGTCCCGCGTTTTATGCAGGTAGTATAAGTTGAAATCAGTCTAGTAGTTTGTTAAATGCATCACCCATATTATTCCAACAAATAGCTTTTAAAAATTAAATTTTAATCTTTTTCGTGAGTCAGTTGTTATGTGAAACGCTTGGAAACGATCTTTTTAAGCAATATGCGCAACTAACAGACTTCTTTAAAAGGCCGATAATAGGCTAACACGATAGTGGTGGGTCAACCAAATGTTTAGAGGTATATATAGGTAGGGATAGCGCAGTAATCCGTCTATGCATTTAGACATAATTATGAAAAGGTACTCACGCTCCTCAGTTTGATTTGGTGCACGGACATCACTGCTGAGCTTGACAATTGCCTCATTCGACGAAAAGGCTTAACTACTTACACAGATACTTCGATTAGCAGTAATTACTAGTAGCAGTAATCCTACAGATACAGCAGACTAGTAGTAATTACTAGTAGTAGTAATCCTACAGATACTATAGACTAGCAGTAATCCTACAGATACTGCAGACTAGTAGTGATTACTATTAGTAGTAATCCTACAGATACTATAGACTAGCTGTAATCCTACGGATACTTAGACTAAAGATACTGCAGGCTAACAGTAATTCTACACATACTTAGACTACAGATACTAGGCTATTAGACTAGCAGTAATAATTACCATCACTCAGCTCATTAATCAGAAAACTATCTAGAATTCCTGGGAGCAAATGAGGGAGAGTTGTACGTCCTACGCAAGTAGTAAGCCCAAATTATGAATAAGCAGAAGTGACGTCACAGAAGAATGGCTTGGCCGGCGCCATCTTGGATTTTCCCCGGAGTTACGTAGACGAGGTTGTAGAACGTTACGCTTTTCAAAGTTTCTTTTTTATTTTGTGGCAACGATAATATTTTTCAAAGTTTTATTTTTTGTAGCAACGACTTCACAAACGACGTGTTTCGAATGACATCAACTTTATTATAATTATTAATTATTTAATGCAAGATTAATTGTTTAGTAAGTTATTATTTTTAATTATAATTTTAACGACTAACGATTATGTAATTGAACGAGTCTTGAAGAGCTGAGATTCGAAACTACCACCTCTGGCAAGGAAGATCTGACTCTTACTTCAAGGCCGCACTTTGTCTCTTAAATAATGTAACCTTACCTTGTCTATCATTCCGCCCATTTCACCTTGTGCAGCGGAAAAGATCATAAAGTCACTAGGCTGAAGGAATGTGCATCCGCGAGTTGGTTACAAAATGCCCAAAACGAAAATGCAAAACGAAAAATGCAGCCCACATGCAGAACAAAGAAAATTTACCATAGAATGTCCTCCACGAATGCATTTTTTCCTTGGTATTTTACATGCTTTTCCGCATTTATCATTGTGTTTCTATCTTATCTCTAATTTGCGAAACATTCCTGTTTGAATATTTGCATTTGAATTTCTTTTTTAGCTGATTTTGAATTATATGTGTGATGTGTCGGGAAATGAGGAACACAGGTAGCGGAAGGTTTTAAGCATTCAAAAAAAAAAAAAAAAAAAAAAAAAAAAAAAAAACTACATTTCTTTTCTTCTTAAGAATACAGCAGCTTTTAACCGGCTGCATATGAATGTGAAATTTTTTTTTTGCTATGCAAGCTGTGTGGGCTGCGTGAGAATTGCTTGTTCGCCATTGGATCTAGATAGGAAATGTGTTTAGTATTTGATGAAATGTGTTTTATTTACTGTTACTTATCATATGTATTGGTTATGGTAAATAAAATGTTGTACACGTGCAAAGATTTGTATGGCTCCGATATTTAATTAAAAACAATGCTTCTTTGAAAGTGTGGTCTTTCTTAGATTAAGCCATACTAAAAAGTGTTAAAAATTTTTTAAGTTGCTGTCTATATTAGATGATTATATGGAGTTTCTGTCAATATTATCTATTATGTACGATATTTAAGCATGATTTTATTTGCTATCTTTGAGAAATTAAATGTCTAAAAGGCTGTAAGAGTTCAATGTTAAGTAATGACAGTTTGAAATGCGTACCTCGAGCTAGAGTGTGCTACAATTATAAAGTCAAGTTGGATCATCATTTGGAATTCATGTCAATATTATCTGTTATGCAGAAATTTACTATGCATGATAAATTAAATTTGATTCTCTAAAAGCTGTAAGAGTTCAGTTTTATCGATTTGAAATGCATATCTTTTAGCTTAAGTTAGAATGAATATGTTTAAAAGCTTTGAGACTCATAAACGATAATGATGATACTCTTTGAAAAAAATATTCCGATCTCGAAGAAAGGGAACAAGCTTCCAATTATTAGCTGAATATTAATTTCATGTGTCTTATAGACATCATTTTTGAGACCTTATTCACAAATATGGCTATAATTTGAATTTAAACAATACATTACAGTGCCGATATTCTTCTCTGTATTTAAAAATAATTCGATTTCCTCTAACCTTGTTAACAAAGTAAAGCTGTAATAAGTTCGAATGTAGCAGTGTTTATGATGTTTTGCGGTAAATGGTGCAAACATATTAAAAATCAGAGTGACTTTTTCACATGAAGAAAATCAAGGTTTAGCATATGTTTCGTGATTTAAGGAAAGATTTGCGCAAGAAAATCCAAGATAATTTTTTGTAAAGGGTTTCAAAGAGTTAACAGAACCTGTGTTAATAATAAAAATGAATCCATCTGCTGAATAGAAAGGAGTGTTCTAAACAGATTCGCGTAAATGTCTATAGAGTAAAATAATAAGAAATGAAATATTTTTGGTACGTGTTTAAATTAAACTGTGTAGAAATGCTCATGTATTCGTTAGAGTGGACTTTACGCCATGAAAATTTATTGTAAGATTGTATCTTTATTTGTTAGATTGTATTATTATTTATTGTATCCTTATTTGTAAGATTTGCTCAAAGTCAGTTGATCTTACAATAAAGAACTTGTGTAGGTGTGAATTTACTTTTGGGGAAAAGAAATCACAAATGTAACATGAATAAGTTCTAAAAGCAGAAAAAAAGTTAAATATGAGGAAAAATATGTAAATTAAAAGTGTAAAAATTTACATTTGTTAGACATAGCTTAGTTAAATCTTTGAATAAAAGCAACATTTGTAAAACAGAATCCGCAATGTGTCTAAGAAACTTAATATACTCATTAATAATTGTTGCAATATATTAGAAGGAAAAGTTCTGAGTATCTCCGAAAGAGTGTTAGTAGTATAAAAAGTAAGAAATGAATATTCCTATTCATTGTACATGTTGGTTTAATGTTACAGAAAATATCTATAAAGGCGTCCAAGATGGAAAGGATATGCATGCAAATTTTAGCTTAAATTTCGTAGATAGAGAAATCTATGTAAGTTTACATTTGGAGAAATGGAAACGCAACATCGATAAGTATTTAAAATAAGGGGGGATTTAAGGGTAAAATAAAAATGTAACAACAAAAAGTTTTTAAAAATAAAAACATTTGCATTTACAAAAACGAAAAAAGAAAAAGTCAAAACAAAGAATTAAAAGCTTTTTGATATAAAATATTGAAACAAAAAAAAATTGTGTTTGTGAAAACAGAAAAGTGAAAAAAAAAATAAACTTAGGAAAATAAATATTACTTTTGTAATACAAATAAATTGAAAAATAAAAAACTTTTTTTTAAATATAAAACGAAAAGAAAAAAAAAATTAAGCATTGCTTTTGTAAAATAAAAAAGGTGAATATAAAAATACTTTCTTAAAGTAAAAAAAAAAAAAAAAAAAAAAAAAAAAAAAAAAAAAAAAAGGGGAAAAAAAAATTAAACATTGGAAAAATTTTGCGTTTGTAGAAATAAAAATGTGAAAACATTAATTTGCGAAAATTTAATGTAAAATTTGCGTTTCTAAAAGAAAAATATATAGAATGAAAAATTAATAAATCTAATTTACTAAGGATGAGTAAAAAAGAAAACAAAAAATATGCTTGTAAAATAAAAAAGATAAATTTAAACTGCGGAAAAAACAGCGAAGAATAAAGTAGTGATTTAGAAAACCAAAATAAATCTCTGTCCACATTAAGAAACAAGCATTCTTATTGGTTGAAATCCGAAGGATATTGTTAGTGAGAAGCGGATTGTTCTTGAAGATTGTATTCGTTCGCCTTCCTGGAAGCACAAATGTGTGATGCGGCTTGGGCAAGTCGGAACAGGCTCGCGCATGGTCAATCCTTCAGCTTAGTGACATCATGGTTGTTTCCACTGTACAAGGTCAAATGGACAAAAATGGTTGACGAGGTCAGATTACAGGATTCAAAAGGCAAAACGAATACTTGAGGTAAAGCTTAGGTTTCCTTTGCCAGAGGTGGTAAGTCCGAATCTCAACTCCTTAAAACTCGTTCAGTTACATAAAAGGTATTTATTAAAAATTGCTATATTAAATTAAATAACAAAATCAATTAAAAATAATTATTCATGATTAAAAATTTCAATAATTAACAATAATATTGTACTAAACTATTCATATATTAAATAATTAAAAATAATAACGGAAAATAAAATTGATGTCATTCGAAACACGTGGTTCATGAAGTCTTTGTCACAAACGGAAAAAAATAATGGTTGCCACAGAAAACAAAACTTTGAAAAAATAGGGTCGTTACCACAAAATAGAAACGAAACTTTGAAAAACTTTATGTCCTTCAAAACCTGTCTGCGTGACTTCTTGGAAAATACAAGACGGCGGCGGCCTATTATATATATATATATATATTTATCGTTGAATGAGCTTGGATTGTTGCCATTAAAGAGTAATTTGTCTAATAGAATTGCTTTAAGTTGCCATTGGCAACAAATCCTTCTTTTAATCCTCGCTAAAGATGAGCTGATACACATAGTGCGCCGACGTGACAAATTTAGCAATCCAGCCGCAGGAGCAAAAAGTAGACAGCTCGAACATAGGGTGTAATTGTTTAGGTAGACATAAGCTATGCTAGACGGTCTTGTTTGTTGCACACAAATAGCAACTTAACATCTTTTCGACATGTTCAAAAGTATTTAGAACCTGATACACTCTCTCCCTTTCAGCAAACGTCTCACAAAATTGCCACCATTTTACCAAGGTGGGACATATCCTCAGATGTGATGAACTTGAAAGGAATTGAGATTTAGTAAGAAGGAAATCTTATGAACTTGAAGTCTGATCAAATAGAAAATTTTGAAAATACAACTGGATAAAATTAATGGCATTAAATTAACGAAACAGACTATGTACTAAACTTTCTATTTTAGAAAATTAAACTATAAATGTTAATTTCAATTTGCAATTATAGATAACATTTTGGCTGAGGATTACTTATATGTTTGTTTTAACAAATCAAAAGTTGACTTCTTGCTGTATGATAGCATGACATATCATTCAAAATGCTACATAATTGTTAGAGTGAACTAAATGTTAATTCTACAAGCTCCTCATGAAACAGCACATCTTTTTCAACGGGTTGTGCAAATGTGAGGAGCAATATCTCGAGGCACTTCATTTATGCTTCAATGCTATAAGAAGCAGAGAAATACATCATTAACTTAGACCTGTGTGCTTGCCTCCATAATGTTCAAGGAGCTGTGCAATTTGTAAAAAGTTACACTGTCTACTCTTGGTGGTGCAATTTCAATCAGAGAAAATGCAATGAAGAAGAGGGAAGAAAGCGATGAAAACTGGCACACAGAGGAGAAAACTTCAGAACTGTATGAAATTCGACATTTCATTTTGAATAACCTGGCATTAATTCACTTTCTGTATCATCTGGTAATCTGTTTTTAAGTGTCAAATATTTTACTACTGGTGAAACGAAAGCTACATAAAAGGCGTGTAAGATATTTTCCTCTTCCTTTCCTCATGCCTTCGTGGTGTAACGGGAAACATGCTTGACGCTTATTCGTAAGTTCCGGAGTTCGAATTCCTACGAGAGCATTGTGGATTTCTTTAGTTTTCTGACATCAAAAGATTCTAAAAGACTCTGGAACTGGCGTCCTAACTAAAAGGTGGCAGTCGATAATTCGTCACTTTCAGTATTTGGCGATTGGGTCTCCTAATCCCCGGTCCCTTTTTAAAGGGGTAGTATATAACTTATTTTCACCTTGCTTTCCGGTTGTAACTGGAAGCACGTTCGACGCGTTTTCGAGAGGTGAGGAGTTCGAATCCCGTCGAGCGCATTGCGGATTTTTTAATTTCTGACTTCGAAATATCCTAAAGACTCGATAAGCAAATGATTTTCTAACAGCAATTAATTTTCGAAGCTTCCCTCAATTGAAATGAAACAGTAATATTTACTCTACAGCAGTGAATTATGTCTCGTTACTTAAAAAATAAACATTCATTCTTAGTAGCTAGTCGTTGCAGAATTTCAATAACGGTAACAGCGACACTAGTTTCTCACTGACAGCTAATTTATGGTGGTTTCCCTAGTATAAGTAAACACAAATTTCTTTTAAATAAAATGTATATCATATTGATAAATTATTAAATAAATTTATATCATAGGAAAAAGCATTTTCTTTTCAGGCTATACTTGTGTTTCTTCTTAAAGTGTGAGGTTCTGCTGCAATGCAGTATTTACATGCGACAGTACGCCTTTACCAACACTGAATGTAGAATGTTCTGGCAACCACATTTTCCTGTAATTCAGTTTTGTTACTGAAATAGATATAATTTCTTTGAAAGAAATCTATTGTAAGATGCACCTCAGATACACTGGCATATAGTTCAAATTACCGTATTTCAAGCCGGGCCTTCAATAGGATCATTCTTATTTTCTTACCTTCAAAATTGGTTTTGGCTCGAGGAATCGGCCATTGTTGATCAATAGGCATGAAAAATTTTCCGTTCGCCCTCTGCAAGACATCAGCTCCTATTTCTACGAGTTTTTTCATTAACTTTGCATTTTCGTAGGCAATGGCAAAATGCATTGCACTGGCACCTGTAAAGAATAAATTAGCGTAACATTTAACTAGCCTAAACTAATGTTTTCTCATAATAACAATTTTCGTATTGTTATCATTATATTTATAGATATACCCCATTTGAGCCACCCAGATCTTGAATGGTGGTTAGCACTGCTGGCTGCAGCATCTCTGGACCGAGTTTGGATATCGGATAAAGCTAGAATGTTTGTAAATATGAAGTATCCGCGTGGCCTGGGGGCACTTAAAATATTGGCGAGACCAAAGTTTTATCAAGAGGCTTAATGGTAGGGAAGAGAGATGAGGGACCCTTGGATCCGTTTCCAGAGGTGCGCTTCCCGGACGGTCACAGCCGAAAACATCGCGGCAAAAACATCGCGGACGAAAACGTCGCAGAGAAAACAACGCAAGGCAAAAACGTCGTGCTACAAAACATCGTGGGAGAAAACATCGCAAAGAGAAAACATCGCAGTTCTAAAACATCGTGGTACAAAACATCGTCGTCGAAAATAAAGCGGTTCAGAAACTTCGCTGTTTGAAAACATCGTCGTCGAAAATATCGTGGTAAAAAATAAAGTATCTACAAATCATCGCATGACGATAACATCGCAGACATGCTTTTGTCAGGCTTTAATAACTGTGAATAGATATTCCCATAATAATTTGTGAGCGCAAGATGTAAAGAAGGATAATTTTACTTTCACATTTTTTTATTAACTAATAAATTTTGCTGAAAAGTAGAAGAAACATAAGCATAGCAAATTAATGCAACTTATAGCGTTTCCTGAAAACTTACCAGTAAAAACTTTATAAAAAATGATTTATTAATGGTCTTTGTTAGTTAACTATGTCGGTTTTAAATTCTATTAAGCTATAAGTAGCATTAATTTTCTATGCTTAAGATTCCTTCTTATTTTCTTCAGCAAAAATTTATTAGTTAATATAAAATATGAAAAAACAAATTATCCTTATTCTATCTCGCGCTCACAAATTATTATGGGAATATCTATTTACAGTTATTAAAGTCTGAAAAAAGCATGTCTGCGATGTTATCGTCACGCGATGATTTGTAGATACTTATTTTTTACCACGATATTTTCGACGATGATGTTTTTAAAACTGCGAAGATTTTGAACCGCTTTATTTTCGACGACAATTTTGTTTTGTACCACGTCTTAGAACTGCGATATTTTTCTCTTTGCGATGTTTTCTCCCACGATGTTTTGTAGCGCGACGTTTTCGCCTTGCATTGTTTTCTCTGCGACGTTTTCGTCCGCGATGTTTTTGCCGCGATGTTATCGGCGGACACCTCCCGGACAGTGGATTGGGTCTTAAAACTGATTCGGAATTTCCCTGTTCTGGGAGGTTAAAATCGGTGTCCCGCTGTGGTGCACCTTGCACAACCTTCTCAGTGATGAGACGGTTAAATGACCGTTAGGTACTGGCCATTTATGATGAATGCATTAAACTGCAAGCATTCGGCCACTAGAAGCGGCGACCGTCTATCTCACTTGTTAAACTAGCGGGGGGGGGTTCCCTGAATACTTACAACAGTTTTAATTTAACAGTTTTTAAAATTCGTAGTCCATTTTGCAAGAAAATTGTAGGTAGTCCATTTTTCAGGTAGTGATGTTCCCATCAACTATAATGATATTTCTAATCTGGATAATGATTCTTAAGTGCTTTAAAATTTAGATTGTGATCCTTATTCATGATAATGATATATATATATATACATTTCTGTCCATTTAAAGTTAGCTGAGGCACTGTAATTAATTATTTTAAATTCTTTGTACCTCTGAAAGTTAGAAACGCGTCCCGTACATAACAACTTTGGCAAAACAAAAGTAAAATAACTGTAATTACTCAAAAAGTATAAATACAAATTCGTAGATTATGAAAAAAAAAATGATAATTTCCCCCCCACAGAAGTATTATAAATGAAAATTGCAAAGAAGTAAAAAAGAAAAAAAAAAAAAAAAAAAAAAAAAAAAAAAGAATGCTGTCATATAAGTATATTCTGGAATTTATTCAATTAAACTGGAAGATTCGTGTCTGAATACAAAAGGAATAAATTAAAGTAGACAAATGTAATTGTACTTCAATGTTGAAAATCTGAGAAAAAGTGATTATTTCATTTTTAGATATTGCCACAAAAAGGGACTTATGACTTTGCTAACTGGTTATTCTTGGAAATTTTTAAACCTGCCAAGTAATACTGGCAAAAACGCCAACTGACAACTCAAAGGAAAACTGTTCCTTCCAGTGGAAAAGGTTATTCGCAAAAGCGAAGAAAATGGGGAGGATAGAAAATTTGTTGAAAAATGTAACAGTCTTCAACCCAGCCCAATTTGTTTGTCAACATCAGAGCCAGAACATAATAAACATATTAGACAAATTTACAGAATTTGTTTTAATTTTTTATAGAATTTTTTGCTTTAATTTTTGCCTCTGCGGAATTAGTTACTGATTCTATTTTAAATAAATATATTTTAAAATACGGGCGCCCCTAAAAGTTATATCGGATAATGGTCCTCAATTTGTAAGTAATATATTTGAAGAAATGCGCCAAAAACTGCGCATACGTCATTTAAAAATGGTCCCGTATCGGCCGCAATCAAATATAGCGGAACGGGTCAATAGAAATATAGTGAAAATTATTCGCAGTTATGTTAAAAATTTTCATAAAAGCTGGGATAAACTATGTCAATGAATTAGCTTTCGCCCTTAGGACCGCCAAAACATGACACCACGGGCAAAAAACTCCTGCTGAGTTATTTTTAGGCAAAAAGATTAAATAACGCCGTTAGATAGATTTATTTTGTTCAACAAAGAGCCCCTGAATTTGAAATGGGCGATATAGAAAAATTAATTAAAGAAGCAAAGAAGAATACTGAAGTAGCACAAAGAAAACAGAAGTTGTATTATGACATGAAACGACGGGGAGTAACATATAAAGTAGGGGATGAAGTGTTAAAAATTAAGCATTCACTTTCTTCAGAACTAGAAGATAAAATTGCAAAGTTCTATCCACGATTTGAAGGACCTTATGTAATTGAGAAAGTAACTCAGGCTGTAGTGGTGTTAAAAGCCAAGAATGGTGAAACCTGCACGCAATTATTGACCAGATCAAACCATTCTACAATCGTAATAAAATGCAAATATTTAAAGATCTTTTGCAGGACCCGGCACGGCAGGCACAACCTCCAGAAGTGGCACAACGACCACGAAAAGGGCCAGATATGAGTAGAGAGGTCTACACGAAAAGAAAGTTCCCCCGTTGTAAAACTGAAGGTAACAAGAAAAAGAAGCCGTTCCACCGACCAGAAAAGAGAGGGCACGAACATCCCCAACATGAAGATGGGAAAAATTCTAGTAATTCAAAGAGCGCCAGAAGAAATGGCAGCAACCATAACACTGCTCCAAAACGAAAGATGTACCCATCGGATAGGAGTCTACGCAGCAAATGTCAACGAATCAAGCCAGGAAAATCAGCTGGAGATGCAAAGAAGCAACAAACGTTTGAACAGCCAGCAACTAGATCCAGGCAACAACGGGAAAGATTTGTCCCGATTCCTCCAAGAACAGCGGCCATCAAGCGTCCGAGAGTACAATCAGAAGTTAAGAAGAAGGTCTTTTCAAGGGTCATCAAACAGAAAAAAAAAAAAAAAAAAAAAAGAAAGAAAGAAAGAAAGAAAGCTCACTGAGGAAGGAACTGAAGGGCGAACCCGCACAAGACGGAGAATAAACCAGACAGTAGTCTTCGCCACTTTCCAGGAGGACGGCTAAACGGATGTCGGAATATCACAAAGATAAGTAAAACTTTATGTTTCTCTGAAACTTTAAGTTAATTTTTCGTTCTTACTGCAAGTGGCAGAATTTAAGAAGTTTTACCTCATGTGAGGCCTACCTTTATCGCCAAAAAGGCGAGAAATGAGTTTTACCTATTTTGTTACAATGTTTTTCAATTACTCGCGAGTAAACTAAAATTATAATAGGAATGTGTAAATACTTGAGTATTGTAAAAGCTTTGGAAATCTATGAGAAAGGTACCTAAAAAAAAATTGTAAAATTATTGTATAAAATTTTATTTTAAAAATTCTGTCAAGAAAAGAAATTTTAGTCTGAAGGACTTTTGAAATGTAGTATTTAAATGTAAAAGAATCAGCACTTGCTTTGAAGAAATAGAAGATAACAAACATTATACTACTAATGTATGTTTTAAAATGCGTAAAATTAACGGCATGTTAATATGTCTTTATGTACAATGTGAGCTGTTATCTTAAAAGTTAAGAAGTACTGTGATATGGTAGAAATGAAAATGTTGTAGTATTGCCAAAATTTTAACTTATTGGTATGACTATAAAAAGAGCTAAGTATTGTGAATATGTGCTAAAGGTTGAATGAACATAGTTAGGCTCTCTGACGCTACACTTCAGAGTTAGTTACTTCTTCAGAATAGTACCTCAGAGTTCAGAGATGAATATAAGGGTGTATTCTGAGGTCTTGTTATGTTGAATTTTAAGACGTTAGTGTTTTGATTGCAGGTGATAGTGTTGAACACTTGTACATAGACACGCACGTGTTTGGTGTTTCTCTTTACAACACATTTCAGAGAGCACGGGGAGATAATTAAATAATGGCATGAATGAAATAAGAATAATTTTAAAAGAAAGATATACGTGTTCATGTTACTTGCCATTTGATTGTTTAACATTTCATTAAACTAGTTTTCCTTCCAGATCTCTGGAAGGAACCAAATTCAACTAAGAAAAACTGCTCTTTGTAGATGCAGTACAGATGAAAAGTAATTGTCCCTAGAATTGATCATGTAAAAACGACTTTTAATTTCTAGATTAGATAGCTTCTAGTGAGGAATGTTTGTAAAAGATTGACATCGCGTTAGATGTAGAGTCTAGAGCTAAAAGTTTTCAACAAGGTCGTCTAGACCTCAGTTTCAAACTAATTAACTCTGGCTGGAAGTATGTAAGGATCCTAAGTTTTACTAATGTTTATTTTATTTTAAAGCTGTACTATCATTTCTTATTTTCTACTTCCGGCCAAAATTAAATGCTTTAATTTGTTTATGCAAATTGTCTTGCTAACGCTAAGTATTTAAGTTGTGGCTTTTTTCCAAGAGTTAGAGAGAGAGAAGTTGTTTTAGGAAGCAAACCGCTTGCCACTGCAGTTTTTTCGAGTTTTCACTCAGTTGCTGGTTGCCTTTAAGGGCAGAGGTTTAACCCTCTTGATATTTTTAAACGTATTGTAGTTTCAGCAGCTCGGCGTACTACATACGTACCCTTTTAAATAAAGGCCAGTCTTAGTGCTAGGCATTTGTATACTAATTCAAAGTTAACTTTTAGTTAGAGTTTTAGTTAGTAGTTTTATATTCTTACGTTCAGACCACAAGTGGTTGGTCTTTGTATCCCTAAGTTCGGGAGTACTTGTAAAAGTATAGAAAATAAAGGGTTTCGTTTACCCTTCCTGCTTGTGTCGTCTGTTACACACAAATCTTGAACATAGCTTGAGTAAGCTCCCTGTTCCTGTTCAGGACACATCATGTTTCCAAAGCAAATCAAGAGAAGCACAAGTCCTGATAACATTTATTAACTACTTTATACTGTCTTTCATTTGCATATCTTGGAGATATATAAGTTAATGGTTATACTTTTTTTTCCTGTGAAACGCGAATAAATTTATACTTAAGTTCAGGTAAAATACTGATTATGTTACCCTAAAAGCCGCTTCCTAGTTTATCATGACCGGGGCAATTTTCAATGTCTCTGAGATTTAACAGAAATAAATGTGATAATGCTATTATCAGAAATGCTCTTTTTCTACCCACATATGTATCTTTACTTTATGTCTAATTACTTAAAAACCTACTATTAATGTTATGTATTTATAATAACCACTTTCATAATTAAGGAAAAAAATGATGAAATCTTAAATAATCGTAACTTAGAATTTAAGTTATTTAAAAAATATAGTTTAAAGTACTGAAAATAATTAACGCTATTATTAATTATGCATATTTAGTCTAAAGAGAAAAAATTGTATTATCATCTGGTTTTCAGGAAATGATAAAATATTTAAACTTTAGATAAATACACGGAATACAAAATTTTAAAAAGAAGAAAAACATATTAATTATTAAGCTTATTTTTCTGCATAAATCAATATGTAACACAAGGACATAATAACGTCATTTTCACAACTGTTGCAAAAAAGTGGAATTTGGCGAACATTTAGGTGTCTTTAAGACGTCGTGATACGATACACAACCAAAATATCACCTGTGAAAGACGCAATAACGACGTCTATGCGACAAAAATCGCATCTGCAAAGATGTAATAAAGACGTCTTTGCAACGGTTGTAAAACAGTGGATGTTCGCGGACATCTGGACGTCTTAAAGACGACATATTGCAACGCTTTTGCAACGACATCCGCGACAACGACGTTGCTGTGCTACTTAGGATACATTACAAATATAATTGTAGGAAATGTATACCATGTATGATGTGGGGAATATATGTTACAAGCATTTAAGAATGATATATTGAGTAAAAATGTCTCATTCTAACAGCAAATTATTTTCAACATTTCTGGCTGGCTCTGACTTTTTGCACTATAAAGATGCATATTTGTTGCAGTTTCCAGCTGTTAAACACGAATTTAAAAGATCAGATTTCAATAATTTGATTGATATTTGTTTGATCGTTCTTCTCACTTTTTACTGCAATTTTTTGTCTTCAAATCAAAATTTTAAAGTTCTCCTTAATAATCTTCCTTTTCCATGACATAACATTTATTAAAAAAATTTTACACCGGAATTTCATACCGTAATATTCTTCTCCTTCTACTATATCTTGCGCCAAAGCAGGGTACATTTCCAACAGAAGTATCGCAATGTGAGTGTGGACATCGGTGTTGCATATAACCAGAAGATGCAAAAGCGATTCTCCTAACATTCCCCTGCAATCCAGTTTCCAGCAAATGGTACGTCTTTTCTTCTCCCTTTTAGAAACGTTGCTGGAAGTGTTTGTATCCTACAAAAGAAACGTTATTTACATAAGCCGACATATTTAAACTGATAGTCATAAGATATAAAGAGAAAAATATACTGTCCGTATTTTTTAGTTATTTCTTAAATTTAATTTCACTGGATATCTGCATGAAGTAACATACTGGTTGAACAAAACGACTTTGCCTCACCACCTCAATTTGTCCATTTAGGCCTCGTCCTCTCTCTTTAGTCGCCCTTTGAGTGGAGGAGGGGGGACTAAAAAATGTAAAAAACTGGGATATTCTTCCTGTGTATGCCTTTGTGTAGTGTGGCATTACAAAGGAACTTTCAAAGGAAGATTATGCTTTCATAAGTGGATAACATATGCATCTAACAAGTGGAAGATCGTGATTCGATTATAGAGTCTTGCTCTCTTGTTCCACATATAAATTGGAGATTGTAAAATGACCTGGCGAATTCTCGCACAGGCGTGAAGAAAACTTTTGACTCGAGGGGTAAAAAATAACCCTTTATTAATTCAAAACAGTTAACAGAAAGGCACGGTCTTCGTGCGTTACAAAGGCAGCGTCCAACTTGCAGTGAAACTAAAACGTAGAATATAATATAAGTCACCTAAATATAAATAGTGCAAGATAGCACTTCAGTTACGCCTGCTGGGTGGACTCACAAGATCCTAACCGGTGATGATCAATCCGATATGGCCAAGAGGCTTACTAGCGTAACAGCGAAACAACAACGAAACGTGCGCTTGGCTAGCGAAACACGCTCTGAATAATCTCAGAGATTCACCCGTTTAAATAAGCTAAATTTACATCCTGGCGAGAGAATGTGAGAGGAAGTTGAGAAGTTTAGCTAAAGTATCAAACTTAAAATAAATTTGTAATACAAAATAAGGAAAATCCTACACGATTATCAGAGTAAAAGTTTAACTATTATGATAAATTAAAGGTATTTTTTAATTTTTAGGCTATGCATATAAGATGGATACTGAGTTTACAGAACATCATTTTAAGATACGAACATAGTCTTATGCAGGATTGCCCAATATAACCAAACCAAGTGAAGAACGCATCAACTGTAAAGTGATAACGATATCGGATGGCTATAACCGAATCGGACATGGGAGACTTAATTTGTTTTGGGTTCGGTTTATCTTGGGCCACCTTATATTTGGACCAAAACGGTGTATATTCACAATTTCTATGTATTCCTATGTATGTATTCACACTATTTAAATGCACAATAAGTGTGAAAATTCACTGTACAGTTGTATAGTTGTAAGCCTTGAATATGAAAGTATAAAACACAAGACTTTAGTTCAAGGATTATTGCTTTTTAATGCCATCTTGAATTTAAAAAAGTCATTCTAATTTTGGACTGCTAAAAACGTAAGTATAATTTTAATTTAACAAATGATGTAAAATATGTGGAGTCTGAAATTTATTAGACTAATCCTGATGTAGTGCCTTAACTTATATAAAGTTGATTTTCAGAAAAGTTTTTTCCTCTTCCTTTCATGGTTACTTTTATGAACATAATATGATAAGAATTTTCTGGATAAATTAGGTGATCTAAGTATTTAATAAATATAATTTTTATAGCAATAGTATAGGTTGAGCTGCGGTGAAATATTCTCTCATACATATGGAACTAAATTACATTAATTGATTTTTGATTATCTTTGGTTTCTATTAGAGGTTTGCTCAACTATTTCAATAAAAAAAGATGTTGGATAGTAAGAAAGGTTGTTTCTCAGTTTTAAACTTAATCCAATCTAAATCTCATACAGAACTGAAAAAAACTCCCTTTTTTACAATATCAGTCTACGAGAATATAGAATTTTCTCTTGCCTTATTTCAGACTTTAAATACACCTAGAAGCAGAGTATGTATTATATGAACCTCTTGAAATTCCAGGGGATCATTATTTGGTTATTGAAAAATGAAGATTTTTTTTTTCCTTTTTGCAGAATAAAACAAAATTTATCCAAGTGAAATTTCATGAATATGAGGTATATGTGAAAGGGAAAAGAACTACAACAATTGGAATATACATATTATTCACTTGCCTTACACATAAAAATATTATTTAAAAGGTTTAAAAAAAGTATGGTGACATCTTCTCATAAAGTCAAATATGCTCAGAATTTCTAGAAATTTTTCAAATGTTGAAATCTCAGGACGTTGCTCTCCAAATATGTCCAGAATCCACTAGATAAAATTTGCGTAAGTTGTAGGATCGTACTCTCTTTGGTAACATTAAACTCTGCTAGATCCTACAAACGAACCTGGCGACTTCTCGCACAGGCGTAAAGAACTGGCAGCACAGAAGGGCATAACCCTTTAATATTCGTCCAACTCTGAGTTACTTCGTGCTTACAATAGCATCGACAACTTGCAGTGAAACTTAAGAATTGTTACACAATAAATTCAAAAGCTAGAGAGTAGTGCTGGACTAAAGAATTAAGTTAAGGATAACTAGGTTGACTCAACAACCTACCCGGTGTTATACTTGTTAAATGGCCAAAAAGGCGTATCAACAACTCCGGGTAACAGCAAGGACAGACTCGTAAAGTGCTCTGACTAGCGAAAATACGCTCGAAATGAACTACAAGATTTACTCGTTTAAATACTCACTTCATTTAACCTTAAATTTGAATCCTGACGAGGAAATGCGAGGGGAAAGTGAAAGGTTCAGGAAAGGTGTCAAACTTAAAATAATTTGTTACGCAAAATAAAGGAAACCCTACAACTTTATCCAACAGATAGACACATCGATACGTAAAAAAATTAAAAAAGAAAGTATGTAAAGTAAAACTGATGAATATTTGTTATTTATGGGAATCCTTGAACAAATCTTTTGAATGAATTAAAATGTTATTTACATTCAATGTTACAATAAAAATGCAATTCTCTGAAATTTATATCTTCATATGCAGCTTTAGAATTATAGATTTCAATTAGAATGTATTTATTAAAGCAAGAGGAACCTATTCTCAAGTCCTTATTCTACCAAAGATTATTGAATATTGTATAATAGTATGGAAACAAATGTTTGTTCATTTCTGAACCCACCTGGAAATTTATATCACATTCTCGAGATTCTCCAGTTCCATTGGCATACATATACTGTTTGATTTCATTTGCAGCTATACTTTCCAGTTCCTTCTGTCCGTCCATAAGATATCTCTCGATGAGATATCCCCCCTTTTTGTAGTTAGCGAGTCGGTAAAGAGGACTCAACTCATCCACCTCATCTTTACTCACTATTTCATCTAGCAGTGAAGTAGCAAGACTCGATGCTCCACGATCCGAAAAACGTAGAAGATTTTCCAAGGAATATTTTCCCATCACACTGATTCAGAATCTAAAATAGAAAAATATACTCTGTTATTTTGAATATCTTCTTAAAACAGCTAAAGAGGCTCCCTTATGGCACGCCGTAGTTTGATAAATAAGAGTTTTAAAAGGTTTGCTCCTTTCGAATTAAATATTACGCACTGGTGAGATACTGCGTTCATTCATGTCACTGAACATAATGAAACGTAAGTTCAAAATATACATTAGACTTTTTCTTTGATTTAAAGGAAGCTGTCTGATTATCTGCTATCGTTTCCAACTTATCGTTTAAATTTAATTAAATAATTATTTAATAAAAAATTCCTTTAAATAATTTCTGATTTCACGTAGTATTTCATTTACTTCAATAATGAAAGTGAGTTTTAAAATAATTTGCTTCTGTGAAAAAATACAAGTCACTCACAAATGATATACACCTTTTGAGACTGCTCGTAAAATGAAATTGCATAGTACAAAAAAGAACTTTCATGCGTCAAAAAAGTTTAGAATTTCACCTTCCCCTCCCTGCTAACGTCTGACTGTTGTACAACTTTATCAGTTTGCGTCCATACGGCTGCACTTTAGGCGTATAAACGATACCTGAATTCTTATTTCAGAATGTCGGTTATGGCATTTTCCAAGGCTGCAATAATGCATGCTCCGAGGCAGAGATCATCAATAACTGTGACCTTTATATTGATATCCTTGATATAAACCTTTGGAAAAAATTCACTTTTTGATGTCTGAAACCATGATGAAGACACCATTTCTGTTTACCTGAAATATCTTCACTATTTTATTTATAAATTTCACATCTGTATCACATTCTTGTGGTTATATTCAATTTAATATTTAATTAGTTATAAAACTAAATTTCGCCTTTTTTCTTTCATACCCTTACTCTAAGGTCATTTAAATATTCAAACCAATAAAAATATCGTACGTGCTTTTGATCAAAATATAAAAATTTGTAATTATTTTCATAATGAAGTCAGCAATTCAAAAGAAAGCCATAGATTCATTTCAGTAATTCGTAATGAAAACAGTTTGAGGAATAATGCAGTCTGTGAAACAATTTCAGAAATAAGAGCATTACCTAGATCAGGAAATTTTTATTCAGAAGGTGCGAGGGAAGATTATTAAGCACTGGCGGAAAAAACTGGGATTTGAATTGCTTTACTTTATTTGGAGAAAACGAGCTTCTTTGTTGTAATAACCGAAACGAGAGACATGAAGGTAAGACAAATAAAAATTGATTTATTAAGAACTAGTTTGAAAGACTGCGATTTTTAAAGGAAAGTCGCTTTCTAAAAATAAAAACGTTTATTTCAGTAAAAAAAGTAAATAAATAAACAAATAAAAACTAAGCATTTTACAAATCAATTTATTTAACCTCTCCTTCTCTCTTAATATATATATATAGAGAGAGAGAGAGAATTATCATCAGCCAATAATGGTTAACTATCCAACAGGAAGGTCCAAATTTAAAATAACCGAAGCAAGAAATTGGGGAACAAAATTAAAATAATAGTAAATTTATAAAAAATAAGAGAAAACATTAATCATTAAATTTTAAAGAATGATTAATAAATAAATAATAGCTGATAATTTTTTGGTCCTTATCAAGAAGCAAGCGAAAGAATTATCAACAAAACCACATTTCCGAATTATAGCCGCATGAATTGCAAAAAGACATAATCAAAGAAATTCTTTTTAAATTTAAATTTAAAATAGAATTTCTTTGATTTATTTGGTCTCTCTCTGCTTAGGTTTCCACGCACCAAGATGTTATAAAGGTATTTCTCTCGCCATCCTAGCGTGCCTTCGTGGTGTAGTGGTCAGCACACTAAACTGGTATTTTAGAGGTCCGTGGTTCGATTCCCGGCGAGGGCGATTGCTAATTTTTCAATCTCTCTTGCTACCAAATAATCCTAATGTCTCTACAATGTTATGTATGCTCCTTTAATCAAAAGTTTGTTTTACAAATTCTCCAAAGTTATGCGATTGGTTCAATGTCTTTTTCATCACTCGTACGTCATTATATTCAAGAACCAAGGGGTTGAGGGAAACGTTCTGCATTGAGATCATTCTGTTTAGATTTTCGCTGCTCTATCTATTTGTTCTCTATGTGCCTGAGCGGAAAATTTCGATCATAGTTTATTACCGATTCCTTGTTTGAAAGAAATTCATTATAAGAATTGATTATAAAAAAAATTAATTTAAAAAGATCACTTAATGAAAAAGTGCACTTACAGATGCGATATTGCAGTGATTCAAAGTTTAATGGAATTTATATACAATGAAGTGATTTCAGATGTTTTTCATCCGTTTCTGTTTTCGATGTTATCAATTAATGAATAGTATGTCATGGATGGAATAAACTGCAGTTCTTTTCAACAAGGCGTAACTGATAAAAGTGCTTTGAGCTTCCAGTTTTAAATGGTGCTTTTTCTTTAAACTTCTATTATCTTTTATTTTGTGGGAGCATATTAATCGAGCTTTAAAATAATTAAAAGGTAGTTATTAAGATATTCTTTTCTTTAAATTATTTTGTAGTTATAAATTTTATGAATATAGTTTATTAACTTGATGGTTTAATAATTAATTTAGTCATTAATTAGTGCAGCTAAAGTTTTTGCTTTCTCACTGAATTAAATATTGCTGTTGTCCTTACCCTGTGAGACTTTAAATATACAATGCCATTTTTTTAAATGGTAACAAATTAAAGAATTAATGTATTAAAAATTTAATTTTTAATAAGTATGTTGAAAAAATTCACTAATTTTTTAAAAAAATTTCAAGCATTTTAATTAGGTAAAGTTATTAGAATTTAATGAAGTAATAATTTTAATTTTGAATTACATTGAGAATGAGATAAATATGAAACATAGCGCAACAGGGTTAGCGGCTACCGCAGTTTATGACATCAGTGATAGCCGCAAATTTCATTTATTCGTGAAGAACAAATTACAGGACTGAGATTCTTAGTAGCCTGAGGCATTGTGCAACTCATCATAATAAAACAGTAGGTGATTTTGAAATTATACTCAGGCAATGGAATTGAAATTCCCACCTATAGAATTAAAATTTTAGCTTTAAATTTAAGACTTAGAAGAGAATTCGAATTTCCGTTTATAGTAGTAAAAGTTGATAAAGCTAATATAAGAGCTGATCTTCTAAACAATTTTAAACTTTTAGTTGACATTCATAATAAACAATAATTGACGGAATAACTAACTTGTCTGTTCGAGGTAATACGAGTATAAGGACCGTGTTTTTTTTCGGGAGGTAATTCTATTAGTACTCTAGATAAAATTTCTAAAAATACTAATTTGTTACAACAGTACCCAAATTTAGCAAAACCAAATTTATCAGCATCAGCGTTTAAGTATATGCTGAGCATTATATTACAACAACAGGGCAACCTGTTTATACGAAAGCTAGATAACTGAATTCCAAGCGATTACAAATAGTAAAACAGGAATTTCAGTATATGTTAGAAAATGGTATGATTCGTGCCTCTAAATCACATTGAGCTAGTCCTCTTCATATGGAAGAAAGACAGTTCCTTCCGACCATACGGAGATTATCGCCATTTGAATGCACAAACAATACCAGATCATTATCCCATATCCCCATTAGAGGAGTCCAAACCCATTTTACAAAATACTCAAATATTTTCTAAAGTTGATTTGCACATAAAGCATATTTCCAATTCTATTAATCAGAATGGTAAGCCAAAAACTGTCATTATAGTCCCTTTCGGCCTATATGAATTTAACTTCATGAGTTTCGGGTTGCGCAACGCACCTTCTATTATTCAAAGACTTATTAATGAGGTATTTAGAGGACTAAATTTTGTTTTCCCGTGTATGGATGATGTTTTGATTGCGTCAAATACTAAAGAGAAACACGAAAAACCCTTAAAATTAGTTTTTGATAGATTGCAAAAATATGAATTGAGAAGTTTTATTTATAATCTATTTTTGGAGTTAATAAATCGGAATTTTTAGGCTTTCTAATTATACCTGAGGTATCAAAACCACTTCCTGAAAAGATTAATCTTTATTATACTTTATTAATATTTATTTATCTTAATTATATTTTAACACCATAAATACAATAAGAGTAACATTTTCAGAAATTATGGTTTCAGCGTTATTATTTTTCATTTACTATTTCTGATTTTACCAAACTGGAAGGCCTCGTAACATTTCTAAGCAAACATATCCATCATTAGGGCTATCCTCTTGAGCAAACCAGTTTGTTCTTCTGCACTAGGGGCTCAGGATGCCTAGTCAATTACTTGAAAAAGCCTCCCATTGCAACTCAGAGGAAGAAGGGAGGGAGTCGATAGTTTCAGTTCGAGTGAAAGAAAGTTTTGGTTTACAATTATTTGATTGGAGAAGAGGTATCTGCATTAAATGTTATGTAACATAGAAAGATCGCGAATCCGGGAGAACAGATGAATTTAGGGTAAGAGCATAAAATCTGGTATCGAGGTCACCAATTATTTTTAAAGCAGCTATCGTATTTTTTTTTTACATATATGTATATATATGTATATATATATATATATATATATATATATATATATATCAGCGTATCCTTTATATACAGGTATTAAATTTTCTGCATATAAGGGACTGTTTTATTTATAGATAAATTATTGCGAAATTTAAGAAATGTACTGGGTCGCTAATGAGATGGTTGCGAATTTCTGGTGCTCAATGGTTGGGGGTTACATTGCGTAAACAGGGCTGCAAATCATATTCAGTATCTGAATGATTAACTGTTACAGTGACGATAGTTTAGCTATTTCGGCTCTATTTGTAACGACTTTGATCCCTTAGAGAATTTTGCCAAAAACTTAGTGGGCACCAGCTCTGCTGAAGCCCATTGCTTTACACTGTTTGTTTTATGCCAGTGATATCTTTGTCTTCGATGGCAAGGAAGTACACTCTTTTGCTAAAAAATCGAAGCACCAAGAAGGACTTTTGCGATCTAGACGAAATTTGGTATGCAAAAACATCTTGGTCGAACATACAAATGATCAAAGTTTCAAGGCAAATGAACAGGAATTGCGATCATAGTGCGCAATTTGCAAAGTATAAAACCAGTAATAGAGGCGGAAAATTTATCTTTTTCTGTTGCTGCCATTGTAATTCCGTAAAGAACCAACTAAAGATGCCATTACGACGATATCGAAGACAGAATCTATTACACACACATAAACAATCGTAAACAATACGTAGCATATGCTGAAAGAAAACGTTCGAATGTAAAAAGGGGAATTAAAATATAAAATTTACATATGAGGTAGAGGTTGCGTCGCCAAATGCAAATAAGCAACCAAAATTAGCATCAAATGCAATCTTGAAGTCACGCCACAACACCCTAAAAGGGCGCATGCCGGACGCCGTAGAATTACCACAACGGCAGACGATCGCTACCTGTTGCTACGTGCAAGACGCCGTTTATTACTAACATCACGACAGCTGGCGTCACAGCTCTCTGCTGCTGCAGGACGGCCCATCTCCCACCAAACTGTGTCGCTTCGACTGTAAGAAGGTGGACTGTACGCCCGACGACTTGTGGTTTGTATTCCTTTAACCACTTCGCATGTCAGACCGCGGTTGAATTGGACCAGTGGACATCACAGTTGGACACAAGGGCGTTGGGGCCACGTAGTCCTTACGGATGGATCTCGATTTAACATCCAGAACGATTCTTGAAGGGAGATGATACCGTGAGAACCAAGGGCACGCTATCGAGCACCAAACATCGTCGAAAGACAGCATTGCAAAGGAGGAGGTTTAGTTGTATGGACTGGGATAGCAACGAACGGTTGCACCAACCTCTATGTGATTCCCGGTGGTTTCGTCACAGCCGATCTGTATAGCGACAAAATTCTACACTTTATTGTGCGTCCTTTTATCGCTGCAATGGTTACTGACGTAATATTTATGGCCATTACGCCCGCCCGCATTGAGTGTTGCGGAGTTATCTGGAGAGTGAAACAATTCCACATCTGCCCTGGACTGACACTCCAGACGAAAGATCTCTGACCCAGGTCCATATTCTAGAGGACCCATACAGAGTTTAGATATCCATCGTCCGTGGGACCTCATCCTCGCGGGCGCAACCCCCGCAGTTCCCGCCCGGCTTTTAAAAAGCATAGGGCAGAACGATACGTTGCTATGTTAAAACTCTGTCACCTTGCCTCCGGACACCACTCCATCGGCAAAAATTACATTGGTGTGGGTGCTCTGTCTACTCTGTCAGTCCCCGCCACGAGAACTGAATGGGGTCAAATCCCCAGGGACTCGGTCGACGATCTCCGATCTAGCTTCATTACAGCCGAAGGAACAGACACGACAGTACCAGTACGGTCCCTGCCAAGCCTGAACCAACCTGAGTACAATACTCGGGTTCTAGTCCTGTGAAGCCAAATTATATACCGCCGTGGTTGAGACTGCCTAGGTACAGATCCTAACCAGTACTTCCCAGACGTTCGCCTTAGTCAACCCCCGGGGGGGATCTGCCCGGACTGCTAGATCACCGGAGCTGAATGCCATAGAGCATGTGTGGGATATGTTAGGACGACGGACAGCAAGTCGCAGTGTGCTGTCATTCGCCCTCCACGAACTCTGACATGCGCGACATTTTTACCGTGCCACAACTCCGACTCGACTACAGTAATGGGTAAAACTGCCACAACAAGCGATCAATGACTCTATTGCCAGCTTGCCTCGCCGTTTTGAAGCACGCATTTCAGCTAGATAGTATCACACCTGCCATTAGCGCGATGTTTCCTCTGCACATTATTCATACCCATTTGGTCTTTTGCAATGTGATGGTCGTAAGACATGTTTTTGTATGTCTTTGCTTTATTGTTTTCTATGTGGTCTAGTAATGCCACACCATCCTCTTGGATCAGTTTCATGCTTGTCTATAAAGTAGTTTTTTTTTAATTCCGTGTTGCTTATTTTTTGAGCAGGAGTGTATATATCATCATCAGTTTCATTTCGCCGAATTCAAAAATGTTATATTTACATTAATATTACTTGATCAATAAATAAGTGACATTACTACAGGATCACATAGCACGTTGTTTATTACAAACCAACATCAACTGGCGATTACTTCAGTTCAATTCAACAAGCAACTAGTGTGTTGTCACATATATATAACATCTCCCCTCTTTTGGGAGAGTCATAGGAATCACTGCATTACATAATTATCATATTTGGATAGTCGATATACATTACGACCATTTCTTGTTTTATATACACAATCACGATTAATGTTATTGCTATTATCCTGATGGTGATGATCATTATGTATTTTTGGATGTTCACTACTTATATTTTCCTCATTCTCATTACATAGATCATAATAGTCTCTGATTTTTAGTTTTTCTTAAATGGAATTTATTCCGTCTAATTACCCTATTATCTTTTTTTCTAATCCAATATGATCTAGGAGTTGAATGCTTTTTTAAAACTATACCAGGCTCAAATTTATTTTCCCATCTCAACATTTTCCACAGGAATAAATTCAGGTCTTTCCCTTGCATGCTTATCGTAATAGATTTTAGCCTGTTGCTGCTTTCTCCTCTATATTGATATTTTACGGTTGGTTTCAATTCTGTTTGTGTAATTGGTAACCGTGTTCTTAAATTCCTACTTAATAGCATTTGACTTGGTGATAAATTTATACCTGAAATTGGAGTATTTCTATATTCCAGTAAAGCTTCATTTATTTTCTCCAATCCTGCTTTTCTAAATAAACTCTTAGCTATACCTACCAACTTTTCTGCAAATCCATTAGTTTTAGGATATCGAGGACTGCTAGTGATTATTTCAAATCCCAAATCCCTTGCGAAACTCTTCATTTTCCAACTATTAAATGGTACATTATCACAAATTAAAGTTTTGGGTATTCCATGTGTTGCAAATATTGATTTCAATTTACTAATAACTTCTACTGCACTTTTATTTTTTAGAGGAATTATGTCTACCCATTTAGTTAAGTAACAGCCTATTATTAGATAACTTTTCCCCGTATTCTCGCAGATATCAGTACCAAATATTTCATAAGGTAAACTGGGAATTTCATGACAAACAAGAGGTTCTTTTACAGTTTGAGGCCAGAACCTATCACAAATTAGGCATTTAGAAATCATATTCTCAATGTCACTGTTGATTCCTGGCCAAAATAGTACTTGTCGAGCCCTAGCTTTTGATTTTTCAACCCCACAGTGAGCTTCATGCAATAATGTTAACATACACTTCCTTAATGCAACAGGTACTACAATTCGACTATTAAAAAAAACTAAATCTTGTTCAACGCTCAACTCATTTTTAAATTTTAAATAAGATCTTGCTTCTTTAGGAACTTTATCAATACTCAAAGGCCATCCCTTTTGCCAATATTCTTTCACTAACATTAACCCTTCATCTTTTAATGTAGCTTTCTGAAATTCCCTTTGCTTACTGTCAGACATTTGAAGTTGTTTTGTTAGCGTACGGTTATTGCAGTCAAAATCGAATTAAAAACTGCCAAGGGATTGCAGCAAATTACATTACATTATTAAATCGAGGAATCGACTTACTTGATTCACATATAATGTACGTTGTAAAAAGATTCAATTTTTATTTATATTTTCTATTATTAATGTATTTTAAGTTTTAAGCATATATATATATATATATATATATATATATATATATATAACACAAAATATTACTTTAAAAGGAAAAAAAAGTCCCACAAGATAATTTCCCGTTAGTTTTAGAGGTTTGGGACCTGAGCAATGAGCATAATTATATTTTAAAATTTAACTTACAAGTTCCAAACAATCTGAAATTTATTTCTGTATACAGCCCATATGAAGACTATGTTTGCTTAATTATAGTGTTCTAAAAATAAAGAAAACAGAAGTAACGAATAACTTTAAAAGAAGACCACTAAGCGAGATAGTTAACTCTGCTATTAATTGAATAAAAAATCAAAATATCAATTTCCTTTCCAACAACTTAGCAAATTAACTGATAATCAGAACCATTCATTATGTTGGAAATTCAGTCCTTTTAAAGCTTTTCGCAATTATTATTCGTATGCCTTCAATATCTATTCACACATTTATTTGGATATTAAGGACCGAAATTAAAGCTGGTTTCAATATCTGAGACCTCACTGGGCGGCAGAAATTATAGGCTACAACAGTTTTACAATTTAAAGGGGGTATTAGGCAATAAAATATGGGAACTACTGAGATTTAACCGCGGAGCAAAATGCCTATTGCCGAGGCTGGTTGTAGCTTACCTTTAGGAGTTTGACTGCCACCAGCGAGAGTTTTCAATTTATTGTTTATTTGTATTAAGTCTAATGTTGAATTTCTGCATGTGTTTATTAGTAGTCAGCACGAATTTTTTTAATGCGGAGTTGACTGCAATGGGCCTGAATTTTTAATTTTTTTCCTTATTTATGCTAATTTTTAAGTTAAAACTCTTAATTTGTTTACTACCAAACTGCACAAATTTTTTTCCCGAAGTAACGTAAAGCTGTAATTATCTTCAGTTATTCACTCTGCGTGAAACCTTTCTATTCCATCTCTGAATAATTTACTCTGTGAGACGTCAAGTGGTTTGTTTAGCACATCAGAGCATATGAAGGCTGTCTATGCAGAGGGATGCCTTCGTTCAGACAAATCTGTTTTCTCACTGACGTTAAGTAATTATGAGATTGAAATAAAGCTTCCGAAAGACCGCAGCTATACCCATTGATTTTTCTTGAACAAAATTCTTCTCTCTTGATATGTAGGTAACCCCGTCTAACGTAACTAGACTTGTATTTTCCATGCAGAAAGTAAAAGGATATTATTCTTTGTGCAAAACGTCAAACGAAAATAAGGTTGCTAAAATTACACGGCCGCGAAAATGGGGTAAAAAGTGAACATGGGCTCTAATTATTTAACTGTCTTATAAACTATGTTCTTTCCCCAGCAGCACAAGAAAGTGCATTAAATCTCATCTTCTGATGCACTGTTTATATTTTAATGATGCGCGATGAATAGTCGCAGGTCTTTCAAAGTAGAGCTTAAATATTTCGAGAAAAAATTTAATTCTGGATACAACTAGAAGCATTAATGGACAGAAAAGAGGAAGGGTTCCGTTCTATGTGCATCCGAAAAATCTAAAAATAAATTGATAGTCACTTAAACTCCTATATATGTATTGGTTTTATTCTTAATAACATTTCCAACACATAAAACAGAATATAGCGTATAATTGCCTGTTCCCTTTTTTATTAATATGAATACTTATATTAAGAAAACTATTTGGAGTAAAATTTAAAATAAATAAAAAAAGTTCTATTAATCTACTATGATACAGCTCATCCCACATACGAAGGTTAATTTAGATTTCGTAATCACTTAAGCATGAACAGCGAAAATCCTCAACCTGTTTGCAGAAATTATTATCTTATATTAAGGAGCTGTGTTGCAAACATAGCACAGTTGCAAGTAAAGCAATGTAAATTAATATGTGTTGGTAATTTCAATATTAACTGTTTGGCCAGCTTAGGGACTTTCGATAAACATAATGTTATCCTTTTGTTTTATTTTCTTTTTTGCTTTTTAGTTCACTTTTCAGTTTCCAGGTTACAGAATACTCAGAACTCTAAAGTTCGGAGTATCTCATTAGTTTAAGACATGAATTAAATAGATTTCTGAAAGACTAGCTTCTCTAAAACTATGCACAGTATCTATGCCTGCCATCTGAAAACATCATTCTGCTTAGAAGCAAAAGCATGCAGTAGTTAGTATATAGAGTTTTTCTTAAACACTTAAGGAATTAAGGTAATTATCCTATGTCTGTCCTTGTGGTGTAGTAGTTAGCACTCCCAGCGAGCACTGGAAGATCTGTGGATCGATTACAGGTGAAGGCACGTTCGATTTTTCATGTTTTTCCCGTTTTCGAAGAGGGCTTAAAATAAACCATTTTCAGAAAATTGAGACTTAAGCAGTTTATTCAATCTAATCTACAATTTGAGATTTAAGTAAAAGAGAATTTAATTTTAATCAACATGCATATTCATTACATATATGCATCAATTTTACTACCTAAGTTTATGGTTAACTCTAAAGTTGAGGTAAATAAAGTCTTTTATAAATGCAAAAATAAATATTTATTTCAAAATTATTCAAATAATATAATTTAGTAAGTAAAGTAATTTCCAAAATATACGTTTTTACTCTGGCATCGTGTTCCTTATTTTTTCATTTTAATTTACGATTCTTCTTTTTAAATTACGACTTGTATCTAACTGCCTAAACCGGCAGCTTTTTGCTCTTTTGTTTAGCATTTAAAGATCTGGCTATAATTTCATTTTAAAACGATCCATCTAATGTTAGAAATACTAAAGCTCATGATTACTGAGATGCTGTTAACTACAATATTTCGCTCTTTTATCGATGTAAGTGGAATTCCAAACATTAGCTGATTCACTTAATGCTATTCTAATACTCATTTTAAGGGTGTTTGTGAAAGCCGATTTTAATTTTCGCTTCACAATAATAATAATTTCTCTCTAAATTTGTAAATAACAAGGGGAAAAAATTATCTCTAATTTTATAAACTTTTAAATTTACGCATTTAATACATGAACACTTTTGAAAATAAAAATGAATAAATAAAACTACCTTTTACAAAGCTAATCTCTCCTCAGCTTCTTTTCTTCTTTTTCAGCTAAACTTCTGCAGATTTCGTTTAGAGATTAAAACGGATAGCATATGTCGTAGTTCTAATATTTTCTGCAATAATCTGTATAGAAATAGACCCCCTTTGTTTTGATTGGAACTTCTTACCGACTTCACTGACCTATAAAATTATGTCAAAGAATGCATATAGCGCATGCGCTCTTTTCCAAGGCCTTGCAACAAATTAGGTAGCTTTCGAGATGATGACCAAAGTTTCGTTGATGAATATTTGCTACAGTTTCGATTTTCACACAAGACATGGATTATTTTACTTTTCACGCACGCTACATTTTTTTTTCCCTGTAAAAACAAAATATGTCAAATATTTAATTTTGATATTAGAAAATTTTTTCTCTCTTAAAAAAAATGAGTTCCTAAAGGTGAGTTTCAGAAAATTATTAATTCAATACTGTACTCCATATTAATTTTATTTTCATAAAAATGTAACCAACTAACTGAAATTAAATTAAATAAATCATCTACAATCACTATTTATAAATGAGCAACAAACACGAAACACTAACATTATTAATATTCTATAAATATCGTCAATCCGATGTCAGTGTCTTATTTCATTCACTAAATCATGCATCAATAAAAAAATTATAAATAAGTTTACTTGAATTTTTAGTAGCTGAAAAATATAAATGAAAAGCTGATGAAACACAAATGTATGATACCTCATTTTAAAATTTGAGTGAAAGTTACTTTTTCAACGGATGAAGCTACTATTGCGTACTTTTACTTAATAACTTAGGAGCAAAAGTATAAATGTCTCTATTAATCATGCTCTAACTACTGAGTAAATTAGTAACTAAATCTGAGATTTTGTTTTTTATAAGCACCTTAAAGAATTAAATGTTCACAAAATTAATTGAGTATTGTTAAACTTTATATTTACATTCTTTCTGGTGCCACTATTAATTAAAATTAGCATCATAAACAGTAATAAAATATCAATTAATTACAAATAAACAAATTTAATTACAAATTACTTAATTAAAAAGCCTATATGTAAATTTATTATATGTTTCTATCTTAAGAAAATTTTCATGTTGAAAAGACCGAGTGACTTGTCCTTACTTTTTTATACTTACTTCATGCTGGTGCCCAGGGCCGTTCCTAGGCCATTGGCTGTCCGCGTACTTCCTAAGATTGCCGCCCCCAATTTTAAAAAAATGCTCAATGATTAATAAAATTTTTATTTCATACTCACTAAGTACATACATATGACAAATTGTATAAAAAGTACTTGCATATGACAAGTATTACAATAAATTTAATAAATTTAAAATATTTAGGCGTGGTATCGGGAGAGTCCGGCCGCCCCTGATTTTGACCGCCCGCGTTTACGCGCTGCAACCCCTCTAGTAACGGCCCTGCTGGTGCCCTTGTATGGATGCCAAAGTATTCCGAATGTTAATTCTTGAAACTGTAAAGAAGTGAGACGATTTGTCGTCTCGGTTTAAACTTCTAAGTAACAGAACTCCAGCTCAGAAGAAGGTTTAAAATAAATCTTTAGACATCAGCCTGATGGTTGTGCAGCCTATGTAATAATAGAAAATCAAGTATTCGCAGCTTGCAGGAATAAAAAAACAAAAGCTTAATCAAGTGAAATAAGAATGAAAAGAGCTCTTACAAGTTTTGCTCAAGCTCTCAAATTTTCATGAGTGATTACGCCTAATAATGTCAATTTAAAACTACCTTTTACAAAGCTAATCTCTCCTCAGCTTCTTTTCTTC